CTTCTCCAAATAGGGCAGGACCCATCCTACAGGCACCTGGACCAGGAAATGAGCCAGAGAGTGGAGACATCAGACAACAGGGCCTGAGTGGAAGATGTGGTGGTGGTCGATGTCAAGGCGGAGACCAAAGTCACCCTGTCTGGGGGCTGGACACTGTCCAGGGGAGAGACACTTGATTCGGTTGCAGCCAACCCAGATCCACCCAGGCACTGTCCATGGTCCCCCGGGCACCACCAGGAGGGATCCCTGAGCACAGAGCAGGAGGGGCTCAATCCACATCCCTCTACCCAGAGTGCAGGGAGAGGACGGGAGGGAGAAATGGGGCAGGCAGGAGGGAGGGAGGGAGGGGAGACTTTGGGCAGGGAGGAAGGTGCTTCAAGGAGCCCCACACTCAGCCCCCAAAACGCCCACCCTGAGCAGGACAAACCTCAAAGGTCAGGGCCGATGCTGGACGCGGCCTAGAGACATTTGCCTCATCCCGCACCCATGGACGGTCCTAGCCACCGGCAGGCCTGTACCCAGGACAGTTGCTGCCAGTTAAGAGGTTTATCCAGGTGCCAGCAACCTGAGAAGAGCCCCCCCACAAAGCATCTTGGTCTTGAGAGGTCTTGTGGTTATCGGAGGGGTGGAGGGAAGAAGTAGCAAAGGCAGACAGGGAAGGTGGGGGAGGGGCAGTGAGCTGGGGACTCAGATGCAGGACGAAGGTCACAGTGATGATGATGATGATGATGATGGCGGTTTGAGATATCGCTGGTCCGGCCTGTCATGTGTGAAGCTCAGCTGAGCCCCAGTGCAGTGATGCCCTCGTCCCCTGGCCATCGGGAAGGACACTCATGCTTGGTTCTCTCCATCAGGGATGGGCGCCTGTTGCCCCTAAGCCTACAGTCCATGGGGATGTTTCTTAGCCCTGAGGAAGGGCTGAGCCGAGGGTTTAGGGGTGAAAGGAGTGACTGTCAAGAGTAGGAGGGTGTTTCTGGCCCCCCCCCCCCCCCCCGTGTACTTGCACCTCGCACTGAACCCAGTCACCTGCTGCTCCGGAAGTCAGGCAGGAACACAGCACGTTAAGAGAGGGGAGCATGTGGTGGGGGAGGCGGGGGACGTGGAACTGAAGGTGAATGGGCCACGTGCAGTTATGGGGGGGCAATGGTACAAGGTATCTAGCTCTCTACACAAACACAGAACCATCCGTTTCTCCACTTCATACAGCGACAGCCTCCCACGTGTCAAGTCCAGCCACCAATCTATCCAGATAGAAATGGTGACTCTGGTCAAGAACTGAGTGTTGAAAGTAGGTAAAGGGACACACATGATAGCCTTTCAGTATCTGTATTGCAAACAGTAATGCTCTGAGAGAGAAGGGAGAGAAGAGGAGAGGGAGGGAGGGAGGGGGGAGAGAGAGAGAGAGAGAGAGAGAGAGAGAGAGAGAGAGAGAGAGAAGTGCTCCCACAGCAGCTGACGGTGGAGCGGGGTGGGGGCGGGAGGGAAACTGAGGACATTGGGGGTGGGAAATGTACACTGGTGAAGGGACGGGTGTTGGAACATTATATAACTGAAATCCAATAATGAACAATCTTTAACTTTGTATCTCACAGTGATTGAATTAAAAAAATTTTTAATCATCAATCTACAACAATTATCAGGAAACATCAGGTCCCCTGAGGTCCATCTGTCGCCGTTGTCAGGACGAGCATACTGAGGCCGTTGCCTCAGGGCCCTGGAGCGTTCTCACAGGCTGACCAGCCCAGAGGTCTCAGGAGCTGCGTCGGCAGGAACTCCAGCACTCTGAACCGAAGATCCAGTAGCTGGACCATCCAGGGGGCCAAAGACTGTGGGCCCAGCCTCCATCCGGCAGGGCTGAGTCCCCCTCATGCAGAGTCTGTGGCCAGCTCAGACCCTAGACCCAGCCTGGCCCAGCAACACATCAGGAGATTCCTGCTCCGAGACACTGTAGGCAGCCCCAGGGGCTGAGGGCCGAGCAAAGCCCGTCTCAGAGCAGAGAGAGCGTCACGTTGCCCTCACTGCAGAGACACGGAACAGCCTGGCTGAGCACCATTTAGGGGAGTGGCCCTGAGCACTCAGCCCAGGATGAAGGAAGCTGAAGGAAGGATGTGAATGATGACCTGCCTGGGTAGGTTGGGGACAGTCTCAGGGAGGACACTGCCCTGACCTGCCTGGATGGGGGCCGGGTGAGTCTCATCTCCAGGGGTCTGCACTCCAGGGGTGAGTGTGAACAGTGCTTCGGGGTTTGGGGGGCCCTTCTCAGTACCTGACGTCTCTTTCACCAACCTCCTACCGCACCCTCCTCCTCCCCTGCTCCCTCCAGAAACACCTCCTCTGGGGCTGGAGCAATAGCACAGTGGGTAGGGCGTTTGTCTTGCACGCGGCCAACCCGGGTTCGATTCCCAGCATCCCATATGGTTCCCCGAGAACCACCAGGAATGATTCCTGAGTGCAAAGCCAGGAGTAACTCCTGAGCACCACCAGGTGTGACCTGAAAAGCAAAAAAAAAAAAAAAAAAAAAAAATAGAAAGAAATGCCTCCTCTGACCCTGAAGTCCCGGCTGGCTCGGTTGCCCTCTGGGTCCCCAACACAGGACATATGTCTCTCCTTCATGGGACACCAGCTCCTGAGTCCCTCCTGCCGGCGACATCCTGATGGGGCTCTGTGAAGGCAGGGGCAGAACCCCCCACACACACCCTCTTTCTCTTCTACTCCACCCCAAAGGGGCCAACAGGCCAGCACCCACCCCCCCGCACCTGAAACCACAGGGAACATTCTTCTCTGACACTGTGTCCCCAAGACCAAGCAGCCAGAGTGACAGAGGCTGGGGACTGATGGGAAATCGGTCCGATGAGGCCCGACCTGGATGAGGAACTGGAAGAGACGGGCAGGTGGGCAGGAGGTGAAAGAACAGGGAAGACAGGTGCACACAGGAGCCCAAGGTCCTGGCTCACATCGGAGCCCGCTCCGTGAGCCACCCTGAGGGGACCTGGCCTATGTGAGTGAGTCTTAGCACTGTCCCTGGCTCACAGGGATGGAGAAGGACGCAGATGCCTCCACGGGTCCTGGGAAGGGAAGGGCCCAGCTGGTGCCTGCTGGGTCCAGGCCTGAGCCCTGATGGCAGCGTCTGTGGAGGGTAACGGGGGCAGAGGGAGAGAGGGGAGAGGCCTCTCCCTCTGCAAACGTCACTAAGGCCTAGACCAACCACACCCACGAAGCAAGGCTTCACTCTCCCCCTGGGAGCAGGGAGAAGCTCTGCGCCTGCCCCGGGGCCCTGTGGGCATTGCCCTCTTTTAAGGCGTTTGGTGCAGCCTTTGTTTCTCTCATCAGGAATGGCCGCCCGAACATCAAGATGAAAGAACTGACCATTGACCACATCCTCGGGGCCACCCTGATGCTGGCAAGGGGTACAGGTCACCCTGATGCTGGCGAGGGGCTCCAGGGCATGGTGCAACCAGATGTCATGTCGAGGTCTGATGAGTCCATCATGCCTTCCAGAGGACAGCGGTCACCCTGACCCATGGACACGGCATCACTTCTCAGGACAGTCATGACGCCTGAGACGCAGACCCCCCCCCCCCAGGGACTGGGCTGTTGTCATGCAAGGGGCCTGTGTGTGGAGACCTTGATTGATGTCCAAAGCACCCACTGACTCTCTGAGCACCTTGGAATGGATGGGGGGAGCTTCCGCCACCCGGACACCACCGCATTTCCCAGGGAAGTGCCGTGAGGGAAGGGCGACCTCTCAGCCCTGACTCCACTAGGCCAGGGCTCAGCGTCCTGAAAACAGGACAAAGATCTGATCAACTCAGAGAAAACACAGAAGGTGGGAAGTTTTAGGGGCTCCGTGCACCCTCATATCAGCTGATATTACACACACACGCACACATACACACACTTATATACATGCTCACACACACTCACACACACTCACACACACTCTCACACACACACACACACACACAAAACACACCCTTCACTTGACTCCAAGGACAACCCAGGGCTGACCTCTTTCCTTGAGACTTTTCCAGAAATGTGTCAGGTGCGGCCCCTAGACATATTTGCAAAAGGGTGCTGCAAAGGGAGAGGAGCACCCCATTTCTGATCAGGGCACCCCAACTCAGGGGCATAGCCCCGCATTGCCTGAAAAGCTCCCCAGCTCCCACTCAGCACCACGAGCATTGCATACGGGGTTTCTTGGGGGAACACAGGGGTCTTATGGAACAGGGTGGTCGGTGCTGAGCCCCCAGGGCCGGGCGGGAGCTGCGGGGAGTCTGGGCGGAGTAGAAGTGAGCCCTTGGCTGTCGGTGAGAAAGCGCTGGACCTGTTTCCTTCTGCTAGCTCCTCTCCACACCTTTACAACACCACCAAGGCCTGAACCACGTGCCTTGACTCTGGCCTGCAGGGCAGCATCACCTGGCCACTGTCAGACAATCAGGAGCCGAGCTTCGTGGCGCTGAGCCAATCAGATTCTCTCTGAGAAACCTGGTCTGGGACCCCGTGACTGAGACGTGGAGGAGCCAGGAACGGGTGTGTCAGAAGAGATGGAAGCGATGGTTGGAGGGAAAATGGGAGGGCGGAAAAAATGGGCCGAATCCTGGGCCCGGAACGTGGTGTAGATGGGTCGAGACATGGAGTAGACTGGGGTGGGGGCACAGTGTAGACTAGCGTGGGGTCACGTAGACTGGGGACTGGGGTCAGGACATGATGTAGACTGGGGTCAGGACACTAGCAGGTCTGGACATGGTGTAGACTGGGGTTAGGATACGACGTAGACAGGTCTGGACACGGTGTAGACTGAGGGCAGAACACAGTGTAGACTGGGGTCGGGACATGGTATAGACTGGGATTGGGACATGGTGTAACACCCATGTATCAGCACCAGCAGGGGGCGTTGGTTCCTGTTCTTATCCGTGGGGGGCGTGTCCCCTGCCGTGTGTGCAGGTAAAAAGAACCACATAGACCAGGACTAATACCAAGGCCACAGTCCGGCTCTCGGACGCGACCGTTTATTGCTCTTCTTGGCAGCGGAAGGCGGGAGCCAGGATCCGGCATCGGGGCCCAGGGGGGACGGTCCTCCCTCACGGGCGTCCTGCCCACGTGTCCCCACCTAAGGAGAGAGCGTGGGTGGCCTTCTTACAAGGACGCGATGCCCGTCCCGCGTCAGACTCTGTCCTTGCCAGTCCTGGCCTCCCAGCGGCATCCTGTCCCTCTGGCCGGATGCACAGATTTGGGCCCAGAACAGGCCCAGCGGTACCTAGCACACGCCCCCCAGGGCTGCAGTGCCCCCAACACAGTCTTCACCAACAGGACCCCGAAGCCAGATTCCACCCCCCATGGCTGAGCCAGACCCACTAACAGTTGCCAGAGCCCGGGGCTCACCGCTTTGTAGCTAGTTTCTGAACACAATGAACGCGAGTGTGACCATCACAGCCACGGCCGCAGTTGCGAATAAAGCCATGCTCTCAGTGATGACCTTTGCCTTTTTCTCCACCTGCAGCAGGAAGCAGAGGGTCACTGGCGCGAGGCTCAGGCCCCCACGCACACACCCGCCGCCGTCACCCAGGGACCAGCTGGCCGGTGTCCTCTTCAGTGGACCCCCAGGGGAGCAGAGAGACTGGGAGGGGCTTCCAAGGGGGCAGGACCCTCGGGAGAAGGACGTGCTGCCCGGCGGGGAGCAGCAGAGGGAGAGGAGCTGTGGGTGTCTGCTGGGGACACTCAGGAGGGACACGCGGGAGGGACACGCGGGCCTGGGCCTGCACAGGCGAAGGAAGCCGACAGGGGGCGCTGTGGGGAAGTGTCCAGAAGTCTCAGTTGGGCTGGCCAATCAGGAGCCGGGGAGTAAGGGGGATGCTGAGGACCGGAAACAATCCTATCCCGGTACTCAGCCCACTGCAGCACCAGCGGGCGCTCAGGCTCATCTGCTGAACGAGGGTCGGGACTTGACAGCATCCCACGTGTCAAGTCCAACCGCCTGGACTTGACACTTGACACTTGTTCACCTGGGTTCCTTCCTGGACTCCTCATTCCCAAAGGTATGGGTTCCCCTCGGTCACATCCCCTTTCTCCAGGGCCCTCCTCCTCCTTGCAGGGGTCCCTGTGCCCACCTCTAGTGTCCCTAGTGAGGGGTCAGAGGTCAGCATCCTGGACACCAACCAGCAGGGAGGACCCAGGGGAGCTGCCTCTGCGCAGACAGGACCCACCTCCAGGGGGTGCCCTCAGCCTCTCTGTCTCTGGAGATGGCAACTGGGAGGCCGACCTTGTCAGTGACTGACAAGTTGGTTTAGGTCAACACTCTCAGCTTTTCCCAAAGAGATGGGGAGGCTGATCTAACCCTGGGGGACAATAGTTCCCAGTGGACAAGACACTGACCAGCAGACAGTGAGCCTGAGTGCGGGGCAAGGGGGTGCCTGAGCTATGGGCAGTGCCTATGACCCAAACCGCCTCCTCTGCCAGGTCATGCTCCCCCCAACTCCTCTACTCCTGTTTCCTCTCCTGCCCACACCTAGTATTGCTCTGCCTGCCCCTGAGGTGCCCGGGGTGCAGCCCAGGGTCTCCCGCATGCCAGGAATGTGCTCTGCCTCTTCACCCGCAGCCCAGCCCCTCCTCTGCCCAACCTGACAGCCCCTGTTTCCTGGGCTCAGAGCCCAGAAAGCAAAACACCAAGAGAAAAGCTGCCTCCACTGCAGGCTGCCTCTCCCTGACTCCTCCAGGGACATCGGGGTCTGTGTGGCAGGTGCCCAGGGCTCCAACCCCACCCATGGGGCAGGTGCTAGGCTGAGTGTCGACATGTCCCTGAGCACCGTGGGCCTCGGTTTCTCCATTTGTAAAATGGGTGCTAGAACCTGCTGTCAGCCATTAGGGAGGACATTACAGGGGACCGGGACGCGGCTGAGAACTCACCTGCTCACTGAGAGAAACCCCGTAGCGCAGCAGAGTGGAAAAGTTCTCGCAGTTCCTTTCAGGGAGGTTGTAAGCTATCACCCGGCCCACCAGCTTCTCTGCTCGTTCAACGATGCGAGGCAGCGGCGGGTACTCCTGGTCATATTTGTTATTGACCCGGTACGTTTTCCCCACAGCCACCTGGGACAGCAGCTCCTTCTTCACCACAGCTTCGGTGCTCAGGCCAAACACAGAGGAGACTAAATTTATTCCCGAGAGCCCGGTGTCTGTGGGGTCACAAGAGAGTACTCAGTGGTCAACCCTGGACCACCCCCCGGGACGCCAACCGGCTCCAAGTAAGTCACCCCGTTGTCCCCAGGGAGGGGTGAGTCAAGAAGGGCTGACACCCACCAGCTCCGACCCACAACGGGGCCCACTCGGGCCTGGGACCTCTGGAGAAGGCCTCTGAGTCTCCAGATCTGTTTTGTTGGTTTGTTTGTTTTCTTTATTTTCCTGGCGGAGGCAAAGGAAGAGCTGGGTGGACCCCAGGGGCATCCTAGCGCAGTGAGAGGGAGGGACAGCGAATGCTCAGTGATAGGGAACAGACTTTCCCTCTTAGCTAGGTTGGGGCGCAACTCGGCGTGCACTGACCCGGGTTCCATCTGAGCACCACCTGGTCCCAGAGCAATGTCAAATGTGGCCCGGGGACCCCCAGCACCGTAGGGCAGGAACAACACCACAGCCTTGGTCCTGGGAGGAACCCGGGAGGAAGAGATTGGGGCAGGGACTCAGGCTTCCTGAGCACTGATCCAGAAGCTCCCTAAATATTTATTCCAAGGATTCATTCTTTTTTTTTTTTCTCTTTGGGTCATGCCTGGCGATGCACAAGGGTTACTCCTGGCTCTGCACTCAGGAATTACCCCTGGCGGTGCTCAGGGGACTGCATGGGATGCTGGGAATTGAACCTGGGTTGGCCGCATGCAAGGCAAACGCCCTCCCCGCTGTGCTATTGCTCCAACCCCAGGATTCATTCTTTTGCGTGGAAACACAGCCCACTCCTCACTTGGCCTTCAATGTCTCTGACCCAAATCTCTCCTTCAGATTTTCTCTTCTCTGCCCCTTAGTCTTCTGGCTCTTTCTGTAACCCCCCACTCCCCTCCCATCTCCCTCCTCCATCCAGGCTCCCAAGCCTCCCCCATCTCTCCCTTCTCTCTCTCCCCCTGCCCCTGGCTCCTCACTGCAGTGTGCTTCTTCCCTCTGTCCTGTAGGGGGCGCCCACTCCTAGTTCTAGAGAGAGCCTTAGACCAGGGGGGAGGGGCACACACCCACAGTCCCTCCCCACCCCACCCCCAGTAACCACAAAGACATGAAAATCTATGTTTACACAAACAAAACAACCCTGTGTGGGAATATTTATAAAAGATCCAATAACAGTGTCCAAAAATCAAAGCCCTCCTGCACCGCCCCCCAAAAATAATTCTCCCCTGGGGACGGGGTGATGAGAGTGGTGTGCAAAAAAATTCTCCCCTGGTGATGTGGTGACAATAGTGGTGTGCCCTGAAGACCCCCAGCGGGGCAGAGAGAGCTCGGCACTTGGGAAACGTGTCCCACTCGCACTCGCTCTGGATTTGATTCCAGGCACCATATGGTCCCCGAGACACCTTGGGGTGCAGCCCTGGAGGCCCTTGGTAAAGTAGCGCCTTCGGGTGTCCCTGGGTCATTCCCAGCACCAAGGGGCGAGCACAAGAATGGAGCCAGGAAGAGCACAGCGGGGAGGGCATTGGCCTTGCTACGGGGGGGGGACCCCAGTCGATCCCCGGCATCTCATACGGTTCCCTTCGCCTGCCAGGAGTGATCCCTGAGCATGGAGACAGGAGTAAGGCCCGAGCACAGCCAGGTGTGGCCCCCCAAAACAAACAAACAAACAAACAAAAGCCTTGAGCAGCATCACCTCTGCACCCACGAGTCCAGGACAGCCAGCCTGACCCAGGAGAGTCGCACCAATGCGCATATGATTTGAGTTTGATTCCAGGCACCACTTGGTCCCCAGGCATCATGCGCTGCAGCCCTGGGGACTGATGACAATCCCAGCACCACCAAGTGACCTCAGGGTAAATCCACAAAGGACCCAAAGGGAAATCCACAAAGGACCCAAGCAGCATAGCAACCGTGGGTCCACACAGCCAGCCTGACTTCCAGAGTCACCTCGAGGCTGGGGGCCTCATGAGCATTGTCTGGGGAGCAGCCCCTGGGGAAGGGAAGATAAAGGAATCCCACGCAGCAGGAAAGGGACAAAGGACAGTCATGCAGCCTGAATCACGATGTCAGAACGCTCATTCCCGAGAGGAGGGCGAGGCCGGGCAGGGATCGTCCCTGTCTGCACTGCTGTGAGAGTTTCTATGATGCTGTCAAACTGCAGAGAGCACTGAGACACCAAGTCCCTGTAGCGGGTCAAAGACACATGCACTCAGCCCCACTGTCGGTGTCAGGGGGACACTCACACGTGGGGCCTCTCCAGGCCAGGTGCTGGAGGGGAGGGGGTTGGCTCACCCTGCCAAGGCCACCCCGCCCTCCCTACTGCCACCCCCACCCCAGGGCGCTTCTCTCTGAGCACAGAAGGTGCAGCTTAGCAGAGACAGGGAACACAGGACATCCATAGGTTGGCGTGCGAGGACAAGGGTCCACTGTGCTGCTCCCTGGGGTGGGGGCCTTGCTCCTGCCGTGACCCTGTGGCAGTGCTGAGTGTTGGGGGAGCCCCTGCTTCCTGTCCTCTATCCCTGCAGATCAGCAGCTACAGAGGAGACTGGGCAGGGGAAGGGCTGTGTCCCCGGGACAGGGGCTGGGTGACCCCCACTCTCTAATGGGACGTGTTCACAGCCTGTCCAGGAACTTCTGGCTGCAGAAGATCAGCAGCTGATGGGCCTACAGGGGACAGCCCTGGTCATGTGGTCTTGGTGCTGTGCCTGCTGGCCAGGCCAGCAGGGGAGACCATCACAGTGTGAACGAAACCCACAGTCACCTCAGCCCGTCCTCTACGAAGACCCCGTTCTTACTGATGTCAGTCACATGGACCACGTAACCGTCTCCCACATACACGGCCCAGTGCTGAATACCACCACCAAGGAAAATCTCAATCAGTTCTCCGGGTTTGGGCTCAGGACCAATTCTGTTCTACAAAAGGAAAACAGAGACAGGAAGAGGTGAGTGCTTGACAGGGGATATTGTAGAACATTCTTCAACCAAAAGACCTGCAAGGAGCCCAGCCTTTCCACAGATGAAGGCAATTTTCCCTGCAGGAAATGAAGAGGTGGAAGCTCCCCTCACCAAAAGTGAAGCCCACCTGTTCCTGGGGTTTCTGGACAGGGATAGAGCCTATGGGAACAGGGGGACAGAGTCCCTCTGGAGGGGTTCATGGTGGGTTAGAGTCCCCTCCATGCAGGGAGCAGGTCTGTGTCGGTGAGGGAGGCCTGGTCACCAGGAGGTCTAGACGCTCCTCCAGGCCATCATTCATTCCCCCTCATCTGCTGGTCCCAGGTGACCTCTTGTTCCGACCCCTAGGACAGCCTGCGACAATGAGCTCAGCCCCTGTCCACATGGGCCTCACTCCAGGGAGTCAGAGCTGCCCCCCCAGAGGAGGGGACTCAGGGTCAGGAAGGGCAGGAGCCTGTCAGCCCCTCCCCCAGGAGAGACATTGAGTTTGTATCTGAGTGTTCCCATGTTACGCCCTTAACAACCTGGAATAATCCAGGCTAGCGTGGGTCAGTGAAATCTGGGTTCCAGGGCACAGTGTGATAAGGGAGCTCAGGGGTAGCTGGTGGGCGGGTCCCTCAGTTTTTCAGGAGTAAGAAGAAAGTGCCCTGGTTCCCATGCAGAATGGGGGATCCCCAGTCACAGGAGTCTCTCAGGGTGCCCTGGGGCTGGTCCCACCTGCATCTGCCTCAGCTGAGCCCGGTTCCCTACCCAGGGGCTGAGCTTCTGGGGGATGGAGAGGGTGCGACCTCTGGGAGCAGAGTAAAGCCTTGAGCACAGGAGTCAGAGCCAAAATGTGGGGCATCAGGAAGAATAATGGGGGCCAGGACTGTGGCTCGGGCAGACCCTTGCATGGGTGAGGTCCCGGGATCCAGTCCCGAAACCACAAAGAGAAAGAAATTTAAAAATCAAACAACAGGGGGCTGGAGCGATAGCACAGTGGGTAGGGCGTTTGCCTTGCATGCGGATGACCTGGGTTCGATTCCCAGCATCCCATATGGTCCCCCGAGCACCGCCAGGAGTAATTCCTGAGTGCAGAGCCAAGAGTAACCCCTGTGCATCACCGGGTATGACCCAAAAAGCAAAAAAAAAAAAAAAAAAAATCAAACAACAACAGGAAGATAAAATCTACCAATTGATAAAATGTGTGTGTTCATAATGCTATTTCACATTCATCAGCCACTTTTGGAATATTTTTCAAAAATTTTTCAAAAACTTTGTTTGCAATATCAGGTCAGTAAGAAATCTAATCTAAATCTAAATCTCAATGATCTGTGTTTGGAAAACTGAAAAGTCCCCCACAGGGCACAGAGAGGGCTCCGAGACCTGACCCGGGGGGTACTGCATGCAGGGCCCGGAGTTCGGTCCCTGGAACTGCATGGGCCCCTGAGCATCTTCATGGTCAGCCCAGAGTAGCTCCCAGCACAGCCTGGTGAGGCCAAATCCAACAAGAAAATAACCCAACGCACAGGGCCTGGGGCACAGTCCATGCCCTGCAGAAGTGGGAGAGGCCCCGAGTCCAGTCCAGGGTCCTGCATGGCCCCTGAGCACTGCTGAGCACCCACACACAACTGTAAAGGAATACAGTAACAAATCAAAGCTCCACACCCCCACATCTCGAAGCACCCCTAATGAGGTGCCACATGATGTGTGCAAACGAGTAGAAACACGTGTGGGCTGACACACAGCAGCCACTGAGCCCTGAGGGGCAACCGCACCCCACACCTGAGTCTGTTACTTCAGCCAGGACACTGAAACACCCATTTCTTACAGGATTCAGGAAATGACTCAGAGTCACACTTACAAATCCCCTCTTCCCTGGGCTCCATCACTGCCCAGAGATTCGGCTCTGAGCCTTTCGGGGTGATGAAGGGCAGCATCGAGGGGTGCCTGTTACTGAGCCAGGAGCAGAGCAGTGGTGGGAGGGACCCCAAGGGTGCAGGAAGCAAAGAAGGAGGCGCCGTTTGGAGATGGGGGGACAGGCACACTTTCCCAACAGCCCCCCTTGCCCATTTTCCTACCTGCCAGCTTGTCCCACTGACCCAAGAGCAGTGACTGAGATCGGGCATGTCCCCACAATGGCCATAACTGAACTGCCACTCTCATCTCTTTCTTCCTTTTATTTGGTGGGGGGCAGTGGGTCCCCCAGCAGTGCTTAGTAGGTCGGGTCCCCCCACAGACGTGCTGCATCTGGACCCTGTGGTTCCAGGGGCATGATGGTGGTCTGAGGGGGTTTACCCTCACCCATCAACCAGGCTCTGAGGGCTCCAGGACTGAATGAACCCAGCAATGCTTAGGGCCCCTGGGGACCTGGGTCCGTTGTGCCGTGTTCAGGCTCACACAAGGGCATCGCCTGAGTCCTGGCCTCACTCTCCCGCCCCTAGACTGTTCTCTGAGCAGAGACGCGTCCTGGAGACTTACCGATGCCATTGTGCCTCCAGAAGATGAAATTTGCGTCCGTTCAGTCCAAGAGCTTCAGTATTTTGCTTCCCCAAAAAAAGTAGTTTCACTTTCCCCGCTGACTCCTCCCTGGTTAGCTGACATGGTAAACGACAGGATGAATCAGTTCCTGGGGAAACTGCTGAATCTCCAGACAGGGAGGGCCCTGGCCCAGCAGACTGGCTGAGCAGGACATCAAGCCGAGAGAGAGGGGACATCAGTTCAAGGGAGAGATGCAAATTGGGGCGATTGGGGGTTCGGCAGAGTCACCACCAAGCTTCAGGGTTGAGAGGGAAGGGGAGGAGGGAGCAGTCAGTCAGAGGGTGGGTTCAAGGTTCAAGCAAGGCAAGGGGGGGGGGGGGGCTGGGAGGGGAGGTTCCTGGCCTGTCTAGAGCCCCACACTCAGCCCCCAAACGGCCAGTACCTCAGCAGGACAAACCTCACCCAGATGCCTCAGTCTCAGACACAGTCCCCTAGGCCCGAATCCACATCACTGTGCCCTGGAAGGCCAGTGAACACCCCACGGACAGTTACTGCCAGGGACAGGTTTATTCCGGTGCCAGCAGTCTGAGATCCCCCAAAGCATCTTACACTCAGGGGCTTGTGGAGATCAGGGCTGGGAGAAGGGAGCAGAAAAAGCAGACACGGGTGGGGGTCAGTCAGCCGGGAACTCAGATGCAGTTTGAGGAAACGGGTTTGATGACATCACTGGGCCCGGCCCACTGTGTGAGGGCAGCCGACACCCAGTTCAGCGCTGCCCTTTGTGCCAACCCCCGTCCCTCTGATTCCATCAGGAGGGTCACTGCGCTTGGTTGCCTGATTTAAAACTAAATCTGCATTCGATGGGGACATTTCCAAGTGCCATAGTGCTGAGGATAGGAGCAGAGCAGCAGGATAAAAGTTCTGCAGAGGGGCTGGAGCAGCAGGTAGGAGGGCGTTTGCCTTGCATGCGGCCGACCCAGGTTCAATCCCCGGCATCCCATATGGTCCCCCGAGCACTACCAGGAGTAATTCCTGAGTGCAGAGCCAGGAGTAACCCCTGAGCATCCCTGGGTGTGACCCCCCTCAAAAAAAAAAAACAAGCAAAATAAATATTCTGCAAAGGCCTGAGAGAGGAGACGGGGTTAAGGTGCTAGCTTTGCAGGTGACATCCCAGGTTAGAGCTACACCCTACGCACCAATCCTGGAGGGGCACTGGAGCACGGTCGGGTACAGTCAGAAAAATAAATAAAATTCTGGGACCAGACAGATAGTCCAGCGGATAAGGCACTTGCCTTGCACACGGCCAACCCAGGTTTGATCCCTGACTTTTTTTTTTTTTTTTGCTCGGTTACTCCTGGACATGATCAGCCTTAATGTATGTTTTATTTTTCTTTTTGGATCACACCTGGCGATGCACAGAGGTTACTCCTGGCTCTGCACTTAGGAATTACCCCTGGTGGTGCTCAGGGACCATATGGGATGCTGGGAATTGAACCCAGGTCGGCTGCATGCAAGGCAAACGCCCTTCCCGCTGTTGCTCCAGCCCCGATCCTTGGCATTCTATGTAGTCTCCCAGTCACCAGAAGTGACTCCTAAGTGCAAAATCAGGAGTAACCCCTGAGTATCGCCAGTGTGGCCCAAATCTACACAATACTCCCCCAAAATGAAGAAAAATAAAACAAAATTCTGAGCCTGGAGAGAAATCACAGCAGTTAGGGCACTTACTTTGCAAGTGGCCAACCCAGGTTCTATCCCAGGCACCCCCAGAGGGTCCTCTGAGCACCTCCAGGAGTGATCGTTGAGCACCAAACCAGGAGTAAGTCCTGAGAACAGGGTGGAGGGCCAAGAACAAGCAAAAAATTTTTTGTAGAACAAGATGGGGGGAGGGGTTGTGAGTAATAGCACAGTGGAGAGGGCATTTGTCTTGCACGCAACCAACCTGGGTTTGGATTCCCAGCATCCCATATGGTCCCCCGAGCACCGCCAGGAGTAATTCCTGAGTGCAGAGCCAGGAGTAACCCCTGTGCATCACCGGGTGTGAACCAATCACTTAATCACTTAACTTCCCGTTAGTCGTCGATTTGCTCGAGCGGGCGCTAGTAACGTCTCCATTTGTCCCTGTCGCGTGCTAGTGTAGCCCAATGGCATCTGTTCGCTCCGGGAACATGAAGGGCCTCAAACCGATCGTTCATGATCTTCACGAAGAAGTCTGACCATCTGGTAGGTGGGCGGCCACGCGGTCTTTTGACATCCCGTGGAATCAGTAACAGCTCTAGACCAACGGTCGTCTTTAAATCTCATTACGTGACCAGCCCATCTGATTTTCGACACCTTGGCATATGAGACAGCGTCCCTGATCCTTGATCGTCGACAGATGTCAGAACTCTGGATTCTTTCTCTCATTTGAGTGAAACATGATATTCCAAGCATAGCTCTTTCTATTCTTCTTTGGGAGACCTGATCTCATCTTGTTTGCATAGGGCCCAGGTCTCTGAGGCATATGTTAATGCAGGAAGAACAGTAACTACAACTGGTCTCATTCCACTGTGAACCAAAAAGAGAAAAAAAAAAGAACAAAATGGGGTTTCTTTTTTGTTGTTGTTGTTTTTGCTTTTTGGGTCACACCTGGCGATGCTCAGGGGTTACTCCTGGCTCTGCACTCAGGAATTACCCCTGGCGGTGCTTGGGGGACCATATGGGGTTCTGGGAATCGAACCCAGGTCGGCTGCATGCAAGGCAAACGCCCTACCCGCCGTGCTATTGCTCCAGCCCCCAAGATGGGGTTTCTGGCCCCTGCTTACCTCCACCCCCACTATGGGACAGAGTCAGGCAGAGGGCAGAGGGCAGGCCCCTCACTCCCCCTGGCCCACATTCCAGACCCAGTAGAAACCCAAACCCACTCCCGCCTGGTGCGGAGGGAGGTTGGAGGCACCAGCTGACTCACCCGCCAGCCCTCTCTCTCCTCTCACACCCACCCTTAGGCCTTGTCCTGCAGGAGTCAGAAGAGGAGGGTGCCCACCTTCACATCCTCCCTGAGGGATCCTGGGGGGTTCTGGGGTGGAGGCAGGAACTTACCTTCATCAACTCTTCGCCGAAGAGCTTCATGTCATTGTCTTTACACGCAGAGGCCAACATTCCCCGTCCACAATCTCTGCCACATCTCAATCGGAAACATCCAATCCTTTCTCTCCCTTTCTGGGATCTCACTCACGGCTTCCTCCCCTCTGGAGAAGTCCGTGTTCTCTCTCTCTTATTATTTTATTTTCATAAAGTTGCTCACAATAATGGATTATATTCCATACTTTCAATATTTTAACACCAATCCCACCACCATTACTTTTTTTTTATTAGTGAAATACCATGAGGTACAGTTGTAGACTTACAAATTTTTGTGCTTGGGTTTCAGTTATACAATGATCAAGTACCCATCCCTCCACCAGTGCCCATCCTCCACCACCACGGGTCCCAGCATCCCTCCCACCCATTCCCCATCCCCCAGTCTCCCCATACCACCCTGCCTCTGTGGCAGGGCATTCCCATTTGTTCTCTCTCTCTTCTTTTGGGTCCTGTGGTTTGCAAGAGAAGCATTGAGTGGCAATCATGTTCCGTCTATAGTCTACTTTCAGCATGCTTCTCCCATCCTGGGAGGATCCTCCCAACACCCTTTATTTGGTGCTCCCTTCTCTATCTGAGCTTCCTTTTCCCCTAGCACATGTGTCCGGCCTCCAAGTCATGGAGCAAAATTCCTGGTACTAATCTCGGCCACTCCTGGGTGTTAGTCTCCCATTTTGTTACTTTATGTTCCCCAGATGAATGCAATCTTTCTGTGTCTATCCCGTTGTTTCTGACTCATTTCGCTGAACATGATACTTTCCATGTAATACCACTTGTATGTAAATTTCATGACTTCATCTTTTCTAACAGCTACATAGTACTCCATTGGCACCACCATTATTTTGAATTTTTCTACCACCACTCAAGCCTGACCAATAGGCAGACACTAGATCATTTATTTTGTATTGCTTGTTATGAATAGCATGAGATATCCTGAAATTCTAAAATTTTAGATAATTAAGGTCTGGAGAAATCTCTGCAGCGAGCTGCTCGGTTCTGAGATTCTTTTGTGAGTCTCTGGATCGTGGACATTAATGCGCTTAAATGGCATCCGGAAGCAGTTTGTGGGTGTGACCTCAGGGTCCCATGGGGCAGGGAGATGGGAAGGACCAATCAATCCCCTATCCCTGGAGGCCTGGAGTTTGCAATCACTGGTCCCGTGTACCTGGGCTTCTCATTGAGTTCTGGTGGAATCGGCTTGGCACAAGGTCCAGAGGCATCTCTGCAGTGAGTTGCTAGGAAGAAAGGAAGGAGGGAAGGAAGGAAGGAAGGAAGGAAGGAAGGAAGGAAGGAAGGAAGGAAGGAAGGAAGGAAGGAGGGAAGGAGGCAGGGAGGGAGGGAGGGAGGGAGGGAGAAAGGAAGGAAGGAAGGAAGGAAGGAAGGAAAGAAGGAAGGAAGGAAGGAAGGAAGGAGGGAGGGAGGGAGGGAGGGAGGAGGGATTAAACCCAGATCCGCCACATGCAGAAGGCCAGAGCCTTACCTACTTGCTGTACTATCTCCTGGCCCCCTTTATCTAGTTCCTTTAAGCAAAGGTTAAATTTTTATATCGGTGATTTTTTTTCTTGCTTCCTGAAATAGAGCTATATTCTATTCTTTCTGTACTGCGTTGGCTACCCCCCATACACTCTGATGATTTATCTTTATGTTCATTTGTCCCCATGAATCTGTGCCCAGACCAGTCCCTGTGCCTTAACCCCCGGAATGTATCTCCAGTATTTCTTACTGCTTTTTCCCTTTTTAGATCTCCATCTCTCTTCTTCCACCTGAATTATTATATATTAATAGTTGGAAATTATTTCCAGGTTGCCATCTTTAAGCTTGCTAACTCATTCTTTAATTTGATCTCCAATAAATTTCTGTCGAACTCTTCAACTCATTTATTGAATTCCTCCCATACCAAGACCCTTTTAGATTATCATTTACAGCTTCAATATCATTGGCAAAATTCTCCTTCTGCTCATTAATTTAATTTAGA